GCGTAGGGCTTGGGATTTAGGATTTGCAGTTTAAGGGTCAAGGATGGGCACGTCTGACAGGTTCCGATTTCCCAAGAATTCCCCTTCAAAAGGCTTCCATACTTCTCAACCTTGTCCATACAAGTTGAAGTTGGTTTTCTGATTCAGTAGTTGGCAAAAAAGCCCGCACAGTTGCTGGACAAAATCCTGCATGACCTCAAGAAGAAACTATACTGACCTGTTGTGGATGGGGGGAAGTTTTGCACCAACCTGTATACCTTCTACCCTTGGGTTCCCAAGTGGTGCAGAATTTCCATCCACCCTAGGTCCTAGGGTGTAAGTATAGAACTACTATCAACTTTATGCTCACAGACTCGGGTGGCAGGGTCCTTGTTCAGCGCAATCTCCATGTCACCTCCACAATTGGCATAGGGTTTGTTTGAAAGGTTAGGGGGGCTTCGTAACCCCTACAAGCCATGAAACAACCCCAGCATTCCAGATATTCAACTCTTGCTGAGCCCCTCCAAGTAGGGTGAGGGATGTGTAGGAATTAAATTCTATATTACACCTATATGACCCTATATTCTAGAGTAATTTCCATGTTATTTTCCACTAAAACCCCTATAAACCCCATATTACCCCCATATAATGCTCGGTTCTGGCTTTGTCTTGCTTTGGCTGCAGGCTGAGGATGTCTTGCTTGGCCTTACCGTACTGGTTGTGTCGAGAAAGGAGGACTGCAAAAGTATATGGAAGCTACTGGAGGGTGTAGGCTTAAGGTGGGAAATTGAGGAATGACTCCCTAAAGCAGCTACTAGTTACTATATGATCCCCAGCAATATAGTAAGTGTTGCTTTCCAATCCTTCACCCTCTACTAACAACCTTGGCGTCATGGATTCTAGACCATCTCAAAACCACTGGGCAGGGAACATGGTGCGAGTCCAAGAGATTTAGGGTTTAGGGTTCCCCCACCCCTGCAGACCCTCTGCCATCTCCGGACAAAGCGGTCTAGGGTCAAGGGATGTGGGGTCTAGGGGCCGACGGGGCCTGGTTTCAGGGGATTGGAGATCCTCTGAGACCTACACATCCAGGGGGATGTTCCTTACAGTGCAACCATGCATGGCCCACACCATCTATAAGGGAACTAGGGGTTTTCCATGTGTAGCAACTAAGACTGAGAGATTCTACGCTCAAGTCCTGAACCCAAAAGCCCAAACTTTCAGGCTCAAAACCTTGCACCCTCAATGGATGAGCCTTGAGCTCTCTTCAATGATTCCCTATAGCCCTGACATTACCAAGCCCTAAACCGCTCTGAAGCTGTAGCTCCAAGCCTCAAACCCCGGACTTTACCTAGAAGGCCAGTAGCCCATAATTATCGTCCGATTTCGCCGAATTTCGAGAAAAAAAACAATTTTGGGGTAACTTGGCTTTCCATCTAGGGTTTGGGGTTCAAATCCTAAAGCCCTGCGGCCCCTTCAAAGAAACGGATCAATCGACACGTCCCCGAAACACGCTCATCCTAATAATCTCATCGCAAAATCTAAAGTGGACCCGCCATCATTCCGTAATCTCCCCAGACCTGTAATACAAACATCATTGCTAGCACTTAGCATTTTCTAGGATACTACAGTTTTGGAGACCCCCCCAAGTGGACTGAACCCCAGACTCCACACCGTCAACCCTACATCCACGAAACCCAGGTAGGGAAAAACCCAACTTGCGGATTGGACGGTCTGGTATCGAACATAATCGACTTGAACTCACATGAGGCGTTGTACTTCATGATTTCCAGTTGGAGTTCAAGCTTTGGCCTATGCCAGCAAGCCCTGTGCAGGCAAGATGTTTCGTACCTAAACCCGGAACACACCCCCGAAGCCCTCAGGTCCCAAACTCGAACTTGGAGCCGAGGAGCTCATGGCGTCCTCTCGAATCATCTGCCCTCGGACTTTTCCCGCCTAGCGCTTGGGCTGGGCGTCACAGGAGAATTTATATGAGGCATCTAGGGTTTAGGGCTTTTGGTTTGGGGTTTAGCGGTATATGAGAATATATCATATCGGCTAATACAAATTGCCCAGGGTTCAAGGTCCAAAGTTTTGTACCGGTCTTCTAACAGATTTCTTCTTGAATTTTGCCCTGCACAACTTATAATGGCCTGGGCCCGGGTTTGGGGCAAGCCGACTTGGAGACATCCGAAAGAAACTGGAAGCTGAAAAGTAATAGGAAGCTCCTCAACAATCCTTGTATCTCATATGCCTACCTGCGAAAGAAGGAGGAACGCACTTGACGCTTTGATGCGGTTTAGGTTCTAGGGTTTTGTAGAAAACGCCTTGTAAATGGAAAGTCCAGATCCCAAAATACAGGTTTGGACCCCTGCAAGTCGCAACATCCGTAGCTGCATGTGCCATGTGGGAGATAAATCTACTGTTTATATGGAATAAGGGAAGATCAAGTGGAAATTGAAAATGGAAAATGACGTAGAGAATGAAACGACACATGAAACAAAAAATCTTGGAAAATGGAAAAGGAAAATGCAAAGGATACCACGAAACTTAACAGTTCAGAGCTCCCTCATTCAGGAGACTCAGAAGGTGGGGTTCGGAAGCTTGCCATGGTAGATTTCTCAAGCAACCATTCTTGGAACGAAACCAAGGATTAGGGTTTAGTTTAGGCTTAGGGTTTAGGGTTCAGGGTTTAGGGTTTAGGGGTACTGCCACAACCCAGCAACGGTCTGTCATATTCAGGGCTTCGGGTCCAGGGATATACTACTTATTGAAAACTATCCAACTGTTACTGCGTCAGCGCAGTATCCAGAAAGATTAGGAGGGGGAGCCGTCCCCCCTGTCAAGGATTGTTGCACAAGAGACGCCAACTTACTGGTGCGTAGTAAAGAATAAAGGAAGGAAATCCGTATACAATCACTGTATAACATATTCCCTTATTCTACTAACCCTTCGTAAGCCTATGGAACACGACCAAAGTAAATAGCTGTACCTAGAGAGCCTAGTTCCCCAAAATGATAACTACGTTAACCCAAAGAAATAGCAAATTAGGGGAAAGTAGCCTATTGGCCACTGGCGTTCTAGGTAATGGCTTAATACCCGCCTGTCGAGTGACCATCTGTTCCACGAGGTCCTCCTTGTACCTGAGACGGGACCAGGGTTTAGGGCTCAGGATGTAGGGTTTAGGGCTTAAGGTCTGGGGCTTGGAACCTCAAAAGGCAGGGGAACATCACAAAGGTCTATCATACTTCTGTAATTGGGCCTTCTACCTCTTAGGCACAGCAGCAGCTCTCGAGGAACCAGGCATACCGATGTGACAACCTAGGCAACGAGAGAAGCCAACACAACCTTCTAGCGCCCGGGGAAAAAAACACACACTCCCCCAACCCGACCCCTCCTCCCACGCAAGTTCCCCTGTCCTGCAAATGTACCTTCTTCCAGACCCCTATGAATCCATATTCCGAATAATATTGGGAATATGGTTTTATAGGGGAGGGGAAGAGTTTCATCAGAGGGGGAATGCTGCTTGTGCAGACTCCTAGGTCAAATCAAGTTGCACCTTTGGGATTCTGAACCAGGTTGAAGTACGGCCCAATTTCGAAGACGACCTACTAAACTACGAAGAATTTGGGTCGCCCCTTCCGCCCTTGCAGATGACCTGCTCAAGGGGGAGGACTGCTGGGGCCTCCATAATGGCCTCAGACAGCGCCACGCCATTGAGGCACGCGCATCGCACTCAAGCAGGCGCGGTTCGTTCCGGGATCCCAGTGAAGCAGCCAAGGGCAGCCAAGCGCCATTTCGGATTTAGGGTTCACTCATGCTTCACAAGAACACTGTTGCCACGGCTATTGAGGGTGGTGGGTGTGATGCAGTGAGACCGGGTTGTTTTGTTTGACAAGGAGTAGAAACAGTAGACAAGGTGGTTTCCAAGTTCCGAATTATGGGAACTTTGTTCAAGTCCCAAGATCTAACCTGCCGCAGCTGTGTCCCCAGTACAGAGGCCCACACTTCTTGACTTTCTTGCGGGGGGGCCTGAGCTTACTCGGCCATATGAGCTACAGTATGCTACAGTCGAAACTCCTAGTATCCCCCTTAATAACCCATATAAGAGTCCCCTATATAATCCCCTATATAACCCCCCTTTAAGGAGTTTAGACTATAGTACATATAAGTTTGGTTGCATGGTTTTCCTATGATGCCCTCTTGCAGGATCCCATGGACCTCAGGACTTAACCCTCGAACCTTCAGCCTTTGAACTTTGGGACTTGCGGAAGATGCACGAAACTTTGCTCCTTAGGAACCGCGATGTGCTGTAGTTCTTAGGTTCATTCAGCAACATCAGGCCGGTTTCGAAAGGTTCCCAGGAGATCCCTACTCCCAAAAGGAGCCCACTGGCCTCCAAATTCAACACTTGCGCTTCAAGTCTCCGCCCGGTTTTAAGGTTTAGGATGGTTTAGGGTCTTGGGTTTGGGGTTTGCGGACTGCATCTGAGGCAACGGCTGGCTTTTCCTCTTCTGCAAGTCCTTGTCAAGAGTGGCTACATCTCCGGCTTTGATACATGCACAATTTGCTTATGGTTGCCTTGGGCATTGTGAAAAAGTGTTTGCGTAGCGGACCTTGCAAGGGCGTGCACAAGCAACCTTTAAGCCGTTGCGCTAACATTGCCTGCAACAGACAAATGCCAGGGATACATAGTATTGGGCAAGGAGGGATGCTTCATTTGCCAGGCTATCAAACCTGCTTGAAGTAACTCCGTTGTTCGGAATAGGGCCCCTTCTGCAACCATAGGGCTGAGAAATATATCCTAAAGTGCCAGCCAGGTAACCTATTGTTTTTGAGTCTGCCTTTTAGTGTTCCATGCAAAGTGCGCGCAAGGGCCTCTTGAAGCAATCGAACATGACATGGAAACTGGGACTATATGTGGGCCTGATAGGAATTGTAGTGTACGGCGCTCAATATGACCTATAATATAAAGTTTCGATATATTGTTGAGGTACCCTTTTCTATAGTCACAGAGGTCCCTAGTTACATATATTATTCTGTAGTACCTCTGTTGCTGGGTGGGTGCCTGACCCAATTTAGGTCTGTTAAGCCTACACCCCTGCACCCTAAACCCTATTTATCAAGCATGTGGTCCTCCTGCTTCTTCGACTCGATTTTCGCCTGTCTCTTTGCGAGATCCTCCACACATCGCAGCAACTGCTTACAAGTAGGTTCTATACCGAAATGCAAAATAGCGCTACATAGGAAAATACCGGGCGATATTAGGTTTCAGCCTACGGGTTTATGCTGAGAATCCTGCACGACCTTCGTAAACTATAGTACCATAATTCCCAAGGCCTAAGGGACGTAGGGTTATGCAGGATTTTAGCATCCACCATAGCAGGCGCTTCGCAAGTATGATGGGCAGCATTTCTTGGATGGCATCTGCAAAACCCCCCAAAAAACATGGCCCCTCGATTCCCCACATTTTAGATCAAAAACCCGAATCCCGAACCAAACCCTAGACTCGACAGCCTGCCAAAAGAAACAGACAGACACGGGGGTCTCTTCAAACTGCTGCATTAGCGATGAGCATGTATATGGCCGTTTGTAGCTCTGCTACATTTCTATTGTCTCTAAGGATCTCCTTAGCTGAGGAGCCCCATCTGAGGATCAAGCACTTCTTGATCTACCGGTCCTCGCTCTCTCGCAGCTTGGCTTGCTCAAACTCCACATCCTTCTTGCGCCTCAACAGCGAAGGTTTGGGGATGCGCGGGTTGGGAAGGGAGTTTGGCAGCAGTGCATTTGGGGGGTTTAGAGGTTTCAGTTGTAGGGCTCACACGTAAACTCAGGGCGGAGGGTGGGTGGTGAAGTTGTTGAATCACATCATAGGACCTCATAGGATGCTGTACCACCCCCACCTCAACACCTCCCCCCCTCCCAGAAAAAAAGTCGTAAAAAGCGCTTAATTGCCCTGCATTTGAACATGAGGGGTGTTCAGGTAAGGACGGCGTGGATCCTCTCTTTAGAAAAGAACCCTACTTGGAGGCCCATGGGACTTAGTAACTACTTATAGTTGGGCATATAACCCTACTTATAGTCCCCCTAAATGGACTTAGGGGAGTTACCCCAATTATAAGTAGGGTTACAATCCCAGTTATAAGTAGTTACTAAGTCCCATGGGCCTCCAAGTAAAAGCCTATGCCAAAGCAGATTCGAAAGAGATATTACTTAAGCTTGCTCGCATCCTATCTTCTCAGCGTATACTGTAGGGCTATTCAAGAAGGGTGCCTCAGGAACCCAAATAGGGATGCCTGGATATTGTTAGGAGATTGTCGGGGTCCCCCGAAGGCAACGCATCAGGACTAGGGTTTATGGTATAGTATGTTCCATGATTGGGTGCCCCTTTTTATGGGAATCTCCATATTCAGAAAAACCAGAGGCGCGGAGATTACATATGTACACCCTTGCTTGATAAACTCCCTTCTTCGAAGGGCCTTCATATCGGGCTGCCGAATTAATCCATCCTAAACCTTAGACCCTTAAAACTAAATCCTAAACCCTTACTATTAGATCACTGATACAGTCCCCTTGAAGGGGAGGGGGTTAGTTAATTGGCGGCCTAAATTAGGGTTTCAAGCCCGAGGCAGTCACTGGCTTGTTGAGGCAAGGTTTAAGGTCTAGGGGCTTAGGGTTAAGGGTGTAGGGTTAAGGGTTTAGGGTTTCAGATTTAGGGGTAAGGGTGGCTTCTCTGGCTTACGACTTAGGGCTTAGGACTGAGAATTTCGGGCCTGCCACTTGCATGACAGTCTAGGCTTTAAGGTTTAGCCTGTAAAGTTTACGGACTAGACTTTAGGACTTAGGATCTAGGATTTCGGGTGGAGGATTGAGGGAATTCATGAAAGCAGCAGCGTCTTCAAGCAGTCTTGAACCTGCCCGCTGGGAAGGCAACTTGAGAAACAGGAGCGTAATCTGTAATCAAGGGCTTTAGCATCCCCAACCCCCCAAAATCAGGACCCTATACATAACTATTGTTTGACTCTTAGAAGGTCCTTATTTTGGGGCCTCTTCCGCCCGTATTCTATGACTCTTCTAAGGTCCTGGTTTTTTGAGGTCAGGGTTCATCAAACAAGCCCCTAAGCTTGTCTTGAACACGTACTGCACCAGTGCCTATCAGTCTTACAACCCTAAGCCGCAAACCCGAGATTCGGAACCAGGAGCCCTAAGCCGCAAATCCTCCTTAAACCCAATGTCTAAAAACTCCCAAGACCTGAACACCAAAAGCCTAAACCCCAATCCCTATACCCTCCTGCCCAGAAAATTGTATAGGGCCAAAACGCCAAACACAAAACCGCACAAAACTCCAACAAAATGCGGGGCATGAACCCTATACTGTCTCTACTAACCCCAGAACCCCATCCCTAAATCCTAAACCCTAAACTCTAAATTCCAGGAATTGAGGCCAGCGCCGCTGCTCCTTCCTTGGCACCAGCTACGGATGTAGGTTTGAGGGCTTCGGCTGTACAGATGTAAACCCCATTTTCCGTCTAATTCTCGATTTTCTTGTTCATTAGATTCTCCTTGTTGGGGTATTTAATCCCTATATTCCTATATAACCGCTACATAAACCCGACATAACGGGCTTGGCGGGTGTTGGCGGTTGTCGGGCTCAGGGTTTTTGATTTTAGGCTTCATGAATTTTACCAGGTATGAAGGCCTTTTGGGTTTTCTTGGGGTGTGAAGCTCAGAGCCTGATAGGCTAGAGGGACTTCGCGGAAGCAGATTGGGATAAACCTTCAACCCTGTGGAGGTTCCTGCAGCACTCTGCATACGAAGGTTTCCCCAAAATTGGAGTTTCCATGTTGGGGACTCCCAAGGCATGGCTGATATTATTCTGGGGTAGAGATGAGCCAGCCGCCGAATCTAGAAAGCACCTGTATGCGGGCTCCGTTGGGCTAGCTCTCGCCATATCTTTGTGGACCATAAACTCCAGAACCTCTTTGCGGGTGCTTGTGCCACTCACAGGCCCCTTCAACTCTTGAATCTCAGGTGACCCATAGATTCTGAGTCTTCGTTGCGAGTCTCCATCATAAATCTCCCAGGATTTGTAGGTACAGTGGAAAAAGTAGAGAAGCCCCGCTAAAGCTCGGGGAGATATGTCATGACTGGCTGAGGACAAGGATTGAAGGGCACCAGGGCTACCAACCACTACATACTCCTACCCTAAAAACGCATAACCTCAATCTTAAACCTTACATCGTAAAATCTAAAATCCTTAGCCAGGCGAACTTTCTATACGAAAGAATCTCAGGGGAACGAGCGCCACCTGTGCAGCCAAAAAGCTCGTGCATCTGCTGGTGTAGAAACTCCACGTTTTCCCTGAGGAGGTTTGACGTTTAGGGCTTAACGTTTAGGGGTTAGGGTTTAGGGTTGAGGGCTTAGGAATTGGGACTTCTGCAGCCGCAGCCCAGGAGGAGTGCCATGGCGGGTCGTCATGGCTATTTCTATCACCCCTCGCCTATTGAAGCCCATGGCACCCCAACCCCTCGGCCTTAAACCCTAAACCCCTCGACCCAAAGGCCGAAACCCTGAATCCTCGAGCTGAATGCCCGACACTTTAACCCCTACTCCCCCAACTCCAAACTACCAAATAATCGGCTACTTTCCCCAGACTTCTTCTTATTTCTTTGGCTTAAAGTAACCCATGATTACGCCTACCTAGGCTTTCTAGGTAAAGGCTTGAGATCCTTGTTTGTTTGCTGACCACTACCTGCAGCGCTCGGCGGGCTTAGGAAGTAGGCCGAAAATGAGGAGAACAGCGGACGTTGTGATAGCTTCTGCAGGCTGTAAGTATACTAACTCAGTCACGAAATCCCCCTGATGCTAAGGGCTACTCCAGAAAACCCTAAACATTATGGTTGCTTCGCCTTTCTTGGCCATTCCTCCTTTCCTTGCCAAGTTCCGCTGACCCGCCACGCAACCCCTCAACTCTATAAACCCCTACATAACCCCAGTTTCCATTGAATGTCCCATTTTCTTTTCCATTACAGTCTCCATTATTGGGGTAACATATCCCCTGAATCTATCAAACCCCTATATACCCCAGATATAAACCCTATATCACCCAATATAAAAGTGCAAAATTTCCGCAGCCTACGCTTCTTCCATCGCTCTTCCTCCTTCTTCCTGTCCTCCTCTTCGGCACCTGGGTCGGAAGGTGGTAGTTGGGTTCAGGGATTTGGGCCTAGGATGTTTGTTGGGGGTTTAGAGACTCGAGTTTGGGGTGCAGAGTGTGATTGTGTAGTGTAGGGGTCGTGGGGGTTCGGTACGTCAGCCTTCGGCTTCGGGATTCAGGGAGCTTTAAGGGACTAAGGTGCTTTGGAGTTGGCAGGCTTCTCCTCTTCCTCTATACCACCCTAGACCCTGAACCTTAGATCCTGAAAGCTAAACGCCAGACCTTAACCCTCATCCCTGAACCCTAATTAAACCCTAAACACTGAACCCTAAACCCTGATCCCGGGAGCGCTACCCCTCGCTGGGTCCCCCTCAGCTTCGTGGCTCATACTGAGCCACCCACGCTGCGCGGCTGCGCGGATCGGGGCCAAAGCCTGCTCCCGCTCTTCTCTGCAGGGTTGGGGTCGACGGCTTCCGAGCTTAAACATGCATACCGCACACCGCAGGCACGAATCCCCATCATTGGTGAAGTAGGAGACCACCAACTGTCTGAACCTTGCGACCAAACCACACATTGAGCCTGACCCGTGTTCAGGGTTTACGGCTTGTACTCTAGGGCTTAGGGGTCAGGGCTTAGGGGTTAAGGCTTAGGATCTGGGATGTCGCGGCTAGAGTATGAGGGTTTCAATCTGTAGGATTTGGGGCTGAAAGCTTTCCTGGTTGGAATGGGCGGTTTCCTACCCGGGCAAATCGGTACCCAGATCGGGGTTTCCGACACTGACCGTGCCCGTCTTCCAGAGTTTCCTGGTAGAAAATCCAAATCACCGCTTCTCAGCAAGGTAGTGGGTAGAAGCCCCAAGGGCTTAGGGCTAACTATTTTGGCCGAGGGCGCGTGAGAAGTCAGTGTGTAAGACTTTACCCCACGCAGTTGGAAAGAGCGTAGAGAGTGTTTCACGCAGGCCGCGAAAAATGTAGAGAACAGCTTAAAGTATAGTAGTTTCAATATTCTTTTTCACTATTCTCATATAATCCCAATATAACCCCAATATATTCCCTAGTTTCCATGTAGCTTGTCAAGGGCTACCAAAGCAGGCTCTGCTGCAGGTCCTCGCGAACTTGTTCGGCACAGGCTCGTGTTTTGGGCTTCATCTTAACTCAGGGCGCAGGAAAGGTATCCGTTTTGCCCCCATTTCGGACTACCTTGATGACATTCCAATACACGCAGGCGGTGATCACTCGCAACTGACACAGATTCAGCATCTCTCTCTAAAAATTTAAAATTGTCACCAAGTCACCTACTGAAACCCGATCTACTCCCAGTTCAACAAGGCCTCCCGACAGACCAACGAGCCAAACCTCATGTAAACTACACTACACTCCACAAACAAACACCCCATATAGCGCGTTGGCAAAACAACGGTTCCTTTCCGGACCCCACTGTAAAACGGCCCCTAAACCTCAAAGGAAATCTCAAGGGGACCACATTTTTTAACAACCTCACCATGTAAGCCTCACAAGCCTTTAAGTTTCAGTTTTCCTTTCCATTATCCCTAAATAATCCCAATATACTATAGTAGTTCCCGTTTTCTTTTTCACTATCCCTATATAACCCCAATGTACCCTAAACCCTATTACAATAGTGTCCATTTTCTTTTCCATTATCCCTATACGAGTCCCAGCCCCTGCCTGCTGCTCAACCACCAACCGCTCATTGCCTCAGCCGTGTAAATAGGGAATATATAGGGATTAAGGGCGTTTGTCAGTGCCTGACTTAAATTGAACTGATACCATACAGAGATCTGGGTCACCCAGCCCATGTAGTAAGGACCTAGAAGTGTCAAATGACGGAAGCATTGGTGTAGGGTCCCGAATCTGTGCAATCCTGGCTTTAAGGCTTACGGTTTGGGAACCCCAGAGAAGTGTAGCTCTGCTTTACCCCAAGGAAGCCGCACATGCCCGTGTCCAAAACTAGACAAAGCCTATACCTTGGGTCACTCTCCCTGCCAGTAACTGTCCTTACGGGGTCTCATCCAAAGGCGATTATAACTCCTACTTTCCTTTGCGGCAACAATTTCTATGAGGGGGAATGACCTGACCCATACAAGTCTATTGTGTCCAAAAGGCGCTTGGTCAGACGCTCAGTTCTTGCGCCTTCCTGGCAATCAGTTTGCCCAGGTTCTGCCGCGATTTAGGGTTAGGGCTTCTAACTTCGGGCTTAGAGTTCAAGATTTGAGGCTTCGGGCTTGTGAGGATTTCGGGCTATTTTGGGGGTTCGTGGCTGAGAACTCCGGTTCAGGGTCAGGCCTCAGGGTCTTGAGTAAAGAGCCCAATGCCCCGTAAACCCTGAAACATAATCCCAAGGCCCCCCGCTTTCGGTCCGCGAAATGCCAAAACAAGTCATTGCAACCCTTCAGCTTTTCATATTCCAACTTTTGAAGATCTGCCTTCTGTACTCCCTGATTCGACCCCAGAGTCCCCGTTCAATCTGCATAAATCCGCGGGGCCTCCGCCGCAAAAGCGCAAACCCTCAGCTTCCATTGTACTCTCGGGCCTTGCTTTGAGTTTGATGGAGCTTCTCAAAGAAGAGCGCGCGCTCTACATTCGCCTGCAGCTTGGGGATTAACGGTTGAGGCTTCAGGGCTTAGGGTTCGACGTCAGTCAGTTCCAGAACTCCACGCCCCACATCACCCTACACCCAAACCGTTAACCCCAAACCTTGAGTTTTTGATATCTTCAAGACTCACACGGCAGGGGGCCGAATGCAATGCAAGGGCCTGGTCTTCAAGGGCATCGTGCCACACAAGCGACCAAAACCCCAAGGTGGAAGTGGACAAAACAACAGCACTGTCTTCAGGGTTACGGCCCCTCAAGTAGATAGAGTATGGAATTCCCCAAAACAATAAGATCTCCATATACAGTATCATATACACCATATTCTATCAAACTCCTTATCCCCGCTAATAACCCCTATAGTAGTTCCCTAAATAGTCCCCTAATAGCCCCCTTTCAGGAGTTTAGATCCTAAACCCTAAGCCCTGAACCCTAAATCCAAAAATGATCTCCTATTTAAGGAGTCTAGACCTTAAACCCTAAGCCCTATATAACCCCGTTTCAGGAGTTTAGACTATAGCTCATGTTCAAACAAAAACGAGGCAATTCAGACCCCCGGGCCCAGCCCGCTCGGTGAGCTCGGCTTTCTCCTGGCGCTTTCGCTCAGCTTCCTCCTCCCTCCTGGGGTTTTAGGGCATAAGGTTTAGGATTTGGGGTTTAGGTTTTAGGTCTTAGGGTTCAGGTTGCAGGGTTTGGAGCTAGGGTGCGAGCTTCGGGTTCAGGTGGTGTAGGCTTTAGGGCTCAGGGTTGAGGGCAAGAGCTTGGGGCTTGGGGATCAGGTTGCGGGGCTTAGGGCGTAGGCTTTAGGGTTTGGGGTTCAGAGCTTGGGGATTGGGATGTACAGTGTAGGGCTCGGGTGTGAGTTGAGGGCTTGGGGTTTTAGGTCTAGAGTCTATGGTTTTGGTTTTATGAAAATGTGACGGGAGAGAGGGGTTGGCCCCAATTTCGACCCCAAATAGTAGTCATTGTACAAGCGAATTTCAGTAAGCGCTCCCTGTTTTGGAAACTACTCTATACATATATATATATATGTGTATGTATGTGTCTATGCCTATATGCGCACTCGTATGCTCGCTGTAACTATAGAGCAAACCACTTACTAAATGCCCGCATGCGTGTGTTATGGGCTAGGCGGCTTAAAAGTGTACAAGATTCTCGGGCTTAGAGTTGTCCTGGTTTGCGACCTAAACCCTAAACCCTAAACCCTAAACCACTTTGCGGTTTGTTTGTTTGTTTCTTTGTGTATTCATTCGGGGGGCCCCTATGGTTTTGCATGCACGGATAGTTTGGTGTCTAGAGTTGAAGGATTGTCCAGGGTTCGTGGTTTAAACCCTACACCCCAGACCCAAGAGTATACAATAATATAGGATTTTCACTGGGTTTTGACTTGAGGCTTGGATTGCAGGTCTAGCGATCATCGCATTTTGGCCCACAGGAGCTTTGGTTTTGATGCGGGTTGGGAGACGTAAAGCGCGGGGCGGAGTAGTGATGGCATGGCCTCATTTCAAGTCCCAGTTGAGTTGCAATCAGAGGGCTTTGGCAACCCCAGCGGCCGAATCAGCAATATGGGAGTCCTGTATGGTCGTATGATTTTTACAGGGTCCTTATTATGGGGCTGGGGTTACGCAAATCCCTTCTTCAACTTAGCTGAACATCCATACTTCTTGATCGGGTTGTTGGTCTTGGGCCTCCATATAGACAGAAACAGGGTTAGGGGAAGAGTAGGCAAACTTGAGGGTTCTACTGATTTCTTTTAGAAATGGCTCATGCCTTGAACTGTTTGCGATTTACGGCAAAAATGGAAGTGCTCTGGTCCCCACAGGTGAAAGTGATAGCTGCAGGCTGCAGGGTCCTGAAGGGTTCGCCATTTCCCACAGTCCTCGCTGGACAGTCAAAATTATGGGCGTGTCCTGCATACAGTATCCATTGTGTTGCTCTACTTTCGCAGCTCACGATGCCAGATGACACCATGCAACTGACTCGTTTTGAACCTTCCCTTGTTCACAATCCAACCGGCACTTGAGAAGACGACGCGCTCGCCATTGCAATGACAAGGAGCCCTGACACCCTTTACACCCAGAACACTACCAGAACCCGCGACTGCCTTCCATATTGAATCCCAGACCTTCGCCCTAAACGCCAGAGCCTCAGCCTTACATAATATCTTTTCCAGTATCCCAATATAACCCCAACCCTAAACCTTAAACCCTATTCGAACCCATTACAGTAGTTTGCATTTTGCCGCAGAAGCCAACGACTCCAACCCAGAGATGGCCCGAAACCCTAAACCCTAAACCCGAAACCGGAATGTTGAGCTTTGTGGAAGCGCCAGGATGCAGATCCTTGTGCTGCCATATGTGGCTTCGGCAAGCCAGCAATTAATGTCGGCCATTTCTGAGGATCCATTTGGGGTTTAGGGTTTAAGGGTTTACCCAGACCCTCCTATGTAGTTCCTTTTTGGGTAGTATATTATAATCCCTAACCCAAAAACCATAACAAACCAAAAACGAACTACATTGGAGCCCTTGGGTAGGGTTTAGGGGCTTCCACGGCTTCAGGGCTTGAACGCCATGCTTGCAGAGGTAGCACCCTGTGACCTTTCGCCTTTCTTCTCGTTAATGCGAGATTTTCACATGTCTGCCCACGAGCCCCTTAAACAGCTCACCTTTTTCAAGCGATTGCACGGGCTAGTAGGGGAGAAGCCCAACAGGTGGGCCAGGTAATAGCCCACAATCCCTGAATAGCATTACTGTTTTGTGACATACCTACCTAGCTCAAGGGTACCGTGTTTTGATAAACCCCCTGTGCTTGGGAGGAGGACGCGGAGGGAGTCATGTCCGCACTCGCGGTTCCGGCAGATCCGAACGCACAGTTTCTGGATCCGCCTTAGTGCTAGTGGTCCAGGGCCTAAGCAGGTACTGATTCGGCACTCGAACCGTGGGGTTGGGGCCCCTAAAGATTCCCAAAGGGTCCATGTAGCTATGTAGTATATACTTAGACCCCAGAAAGGGTTCCCACATAACTACTTTAGGGCCAAAGTCTATACTATATAGCTACCGGGACCCTTTGGGATTTAGAACAGGGATTGCGCTTGCGCATTGTCATCATTAATCAAGCTGGTATATCGCATCGAACTCTTAGGATTCGGGATGAGGTTTGCCACTTTGCTTCACATTCTGAATGATGTTGGCGACAATGATGATGTGGATGATGCTGACAAGAACATCTTCGCTGTTTTTGTGAATGATGACGGTTGTGACAGCGATGGTGATGATGATCATGATGAGGAGGAGGAGGAGGGGGAGGAAGTCCGCATGTCCTGACAGGCAGGGTCCACGGTGCATCTTTTTCAACTCTTTGATGGTTCCGGTTTCAATCACCGACAGGCGGGGTCATGAATGACAGACATCTCAAGGTATACCCTCACTGCGTCGAACGCGCCGAAGACGCTGTCGCCGCTTGTGGTGGCTTGTGCTGTGAGCAACCTTTCCATCGTACAGGCCTTAGTCAATGCGGCGGCGAATGTCAACAGCGAGAGTCACATGCCGCTGGCCTGCATTTACACAAAAGTGTCATGGTTCAAGTCTTCATAATTGTTACTGGATGGTAGTTATAGCAACAATATTGTTAGTAATGAGAATAACGTTAATCATAGTATTAATACTTCCATTCACTATGGCTGCTGTTATCGTTGTATATTTGGTTGTTGCTATGAAGCTTTTGCGGCTGTGCTTGGAAAGCTTAAAGGTCATTCGCTCAAGGGCTGACAGGTACGCAGAACAACAAAGGGTTCCGGTCTGCCTCTAGGCGCGGTTTTATAGGGGCTAGATATGGGCAACATAGGGGTAATGTAGGGAATACGGGAATATCATCTATGGGGATTATATACTGTGGGGATTATATCTCCTTGTTTATTGACTTTTTCAAGATCCAAAGTAGAGGCAAGAACGTGGGGTCCATGAGTTTTTTGGAGGGGGTCAGGGTGTAGGCGTAGGGGTTTAGGGGTTATAGGGTTAAGGGTCGACCACGGTAGCTGCAGGCTACCTTGTACGGCCATGGTTGCTGAGTGCTCTGTGGCCGAGATCTCGGAGTTTTGTGGCTGGGCCTTTTACGTACCATGTTTCCATGTTTTCGCATCTGCCTTCTGCTGATATGGTACAACAGATTCACACCACATGTGATGCGTGTAAACCGTCTGAGATTCCGTATTCAACCCACATGTTCCACGCGGGGTTCCTGACTTTGCTGGGAGACTTACCCTAAGGGTCCGAGTACCTAATAATCATATACTTACCCAAAACCTGTACCATAATTCCTATAAACCAAAACCCAAGTAGCTAATTATTGGGTACTTGAACCCTAAACCCTAAACCCGAAATATCCCTATAGATCCCCTTTAAAGGGACCTAATTATTGGGTACTTGGACCCTCTGACTTAGGTGCAGTCACGCCGTTGCAGATGGCTGTGCTTCAGAATTCCATCGACTTAGCTCGCTTCCTCCTAGAGGCAAGGGTTTAGGGTTTAGGGTTTAGGGTTTCTATAGGGATATTATAGGGATTCTATAGGGATATTATAGGGTTTCTATAGGGATATTATAGGGATTATATAGGGGTATTATGGGGGCAGACACAGGGAATCAACTGTTCCTCCCCTTGTGGGGTTTAGGGTTTAGGGTCTAGGGTCTCCCCTTGTGGGGAAATGAGTTCTGTAGCACCATGCACAGGGACTTGTATGGTGAGTGTGTAGGGTCTCATTTGCCATTGGGGGTTCTGGCATCGGTGTTGACAAGAGTATTGGGCTGATTTGTGAAACTAATTCTGAATGGAGTGATCCTAGTATACCATAGTGGTTTCCATTTTCTTTCTCATTCTCCCTATATAGCCCCAGTATACTCTAGTAGTTTCCATGTTTGCCACCCTAAACCCTAAACCCCTAAACCCTAAACGCAAAGATTCTCGAACGTCTGGATTTCACGTTAAATGCTGGCTACTCTTAGTGTTCAAACGGCAAAAGAGGGTTCATGCTCAAGTCTATAGTCCCCCTTAAGTAGATAGAATATGGGGTAGATGGGGGTCTTGTTATAATATACCCAAAGCCATAATCTATAGACTTAATGGGGACCCTACACTGTATTGAGCATCTTAAGTCCACATGAGTCCAGCGACACACGCAACAATGACATTGGCAATTGCCAAACCAAGCCTTCCCCCTACAGTGGGATAATGGAAAAGGAAATGGAAACTACTGTAATGGGGTTGTATAGGGTTGAGGGTTCAGGGTTTAAGGGTTTAGGGATCAGTGTTTAAGGTTTAGGGTTTAAGGGTTTAGAGTTTTGGGTGACGCCCCCCCTCCCCAAAAGGGACTGGTGCCTTGTGAAAAACGGATTACATGAGGCTACATGGAAAGTACTGAAAGCTGGCAAGGAAAAGTTGCGATACCATTTTAGCAAAAGTTTGCGTTAGGATTGTGAGGAGTCTAGGGTTGAAACCATATGCCCCTAGTATGGGCCCTGAACCCTGGGATCCTTATATACCTATTATACACCCTATACGTGCCCTTAAGGGTCCCTAGAATCCCCCTAAACGGCTTCAGGGCCCAAATTAGGGGCCCATACTTCTAA